TTTATTTTTTAATGTTTTTGCTATATGGCTAATATTAAAATATGTTTACATGATTTCACATGTATAACTGATATAATTTTGCTTGTATCCTCATTGGATGTGGGAAGGGTGGGAAAGAGGGAGAGAATTTGGAACTCAAAAAGAAAGAAAAGGATGTTAAAAATAAATCATAAATTGGGGGTAGGGGGAGAGGAGAGATTCCCATCCTTGAATCTATAGAATTTTCGATCATCAAAGCATTCTTTCTCTGAAGAGTAGGAAACTATCCTTTAGAATTTGGAATTATGTTATGAAAGTGACTAATTGTCCACACCCTTTGACCTAGAAATCACAGCACTGGGAGATCAATGATAGCATACTGCAAGGATTCTACAACTGATAAATTGATAATGATCTCAAAGGATATGAAAAGACAGTTTTCAAGTGAGGAAATCCTATCTATCAATAGTCATATGGGGGAAAAATGCTCTAAATCACTAATAATTACAGAAACACAAGTTAAAGCAACTCTAAGGTCCCAGCTCACACCTATCAGATCGATAACGTTGGCAAAAAAGAAAAAAAAGACAAATGTTGGAGGAGCTGAATTGATCTAGTCATTCAAGAAAGCAATTTGGGTTTTTTCCCAAGGTTTAAATAAACTTTGACCCAGTGATACCACTACTAGTCCTATACCCCAAATACATCAAAGAGAGTGGGAGAATACTCACATTTACCAAAAACTTTTTATATTTATAGTAGCATTTTCTGTATTGGGAAAATAAATTAAGGGAGCATCCATCATGGAGAATGTTCCCCTTTAAAGGGAAAGAAATTATAATATTTGAATGCAATAAAATACTTTTGTTACATAAAATTATGAAATAGTTGCTTTCAGAGAAATCTGAGAAAGATGTGTATGAATTGATACAGAGTGAAGTGAGCAAATTTGGTGTCACTGAATCATTTTTCTGCCAACTCTTCATGACCCTATTTGGGGTTTCCTTGGAAAAATACTAGAGTAGTTTGCCATTTCCTTTTCCAACTAATTTTACAGATGAGGAAACTGAGGCAAATAGGGTTAAGCAACTTGCCCCGGGTCACTCAACTAGTAAGTGTCCAAGGCAGGAAGGAAGGAGGGAAGAACAAAAGAAGGAAGGAAAGAGAGGGAGAGAGGAAGAAAGGAAAGAAAGAAGGAAGGAAGAGGGGAACAAAGAATAGCTTCAAAAATTGAATATTAACTTTATTATATTTTTAAAAGAAACATGAAGCCTATATAATAAAGATCCTCAGTTATTTTCTTCCACTCACATATACGTTCTCTTCATATTTATGTATGCATGTGTTTGTTCACATAGAGGAATGCCCATTTTATCTAAGGCTTATTACATTCAGAAGTTTTTTTACATTTTTTAAAAAAGAATTAATATGGAATGTTTTGGGATGAATTCTATTTTGCTCCAAACTTTAGGATGCATGGAGGCAAGGTGTATGACTGACCTGAAATCATAGACAACTTTTACTTTTCCAGTACATTGTTATTTGAATGACTACAATATAAACCTCTAATTTTGCTGTTAGGTCAGTGCAACAAACTCACCATTGCTTTGTACTTAGACTTCATGATGATGACAAAAATCTTGTCAGTATGGTTAGATGATTTAAAGTGCCTAAGTTTTTATAGCCTGATTATGTTTTTTGAATAGAATCAAAGCAATGGTTTCACAAAGCAATTAGTTGTTTAATGATTAACCTAGAAATATATAGTCTTGATTGTAAATGAAAATGAAGCTTCAGTCCTAGTCACCCATTCAAAAGTGTTGATGATATACAGTAAGATTAAATGGGAATGACCTTTTCTGCATTTGAGTTGATGCTATAATATCTCATTCAAATTAATTCACAAAAATTTTAGTAGCCCATTTCAAATAAATCTGTTTTAATCTTGCTGCATCAGAATATTGTAGCATCCTCTTAATTGGTCTTGGTATTGAGGCCTCTCCCAACTCCAGTTCATCCTACACACTACTGCCAAAGTAACTGTCATTTATCCTAGCTCTGACCATGTGACTTCTCAACAAAACCAACTGTAAGGGTTTTTATTTTGCCTGTAGGATAAAACATAAAATACTCTGTTTAGCTTTTAAATCTGTGCACAACCTTGCCTCAACCTGTCTTTTCATTTTCATTGGATTTTACTCCTCTCAGTTAGATCAGATTTCTTTGTGTTTAGCACTAATAACACCCCACTCCAGACCCTGTCCTTTTGCCTTGCTTGTCCCCATGCCTGAGATGCATTCCTTCTTTACCATCACCTCATAGACTTCTTCTCTTCCTTTAAAATGCAGCTTGGGCATCATCTGAATAAAGCCCTTTCTGATCCTTCCAAAAAATTTCTGGTGCCTTTCCTCCTACAAAATATACTTAACTATTTTGTATATATCTGTAATCATAATCATAATGTATATGAAGCAGCTAGGTGGTATAGTGGATAGAAAGCTGGGCTCAACTTCCTGAGTTCAAATCTGACCTCAGATACTTTCTAGCTGTGTGACCTTGGACAAGTCACTTAATCCTCTTTGCCTCAGTTTGCTCATCTGTAAAATGAGTGGAGAATGCAATAGCAAGCCACTCCAGTATCTTTGCCAAGAAAACATCATTGAAGGAGCTGGACATCACAGAAAAATAACTGAACAAAAACATTTATACAGTACTTCAAGTTTTCTAAGTGCTTTACATATTCTAACTTATTTGTTCCTCTCAATCACCTGAAGTTTAGGCACAATTGTTATATTATTGTTATATTATTTAAATTTTATAGATGAAGAAACAGAGGCAGAGACGGGTTTATTGACTTGCCCAGGGTCACACAACTAGTCAGTATCTAAGGGAAGATTTGCACACTGGTCTTCCTCACTTAAGGTCCAGTGCTCTCTACACTCTTTTTTATTTTGATTTGTTGTCTGATGCATTCAGTGTAAGATCAGTGTGATTACAGACCATTTCTTATTTGGAACTTATGTCCCCAGCACCTAGCATAGTGCTGGGCACATGTTCAGTCGTTCCGGACTGTTCATGACTCCACTCAGGGATATTTTGGCAAAGATATTGGAGCAGTTTGCTGTTTCCTTCTGCGGCTCATTTTACAGATGAGGAAACTGGAGCAAATAGATTTAAGTGACTTCTCCAAGGTCACAGAGCTAGTACGTGTCTGAGGGCAGATTTGAATTCATGAAGATGAATTTTCCTGTTTCCAGGTGCAGTGCTCTATCCACTGCACTACTTAGTACGTAGGCACTTAATAAATATTGATTGATAGTACAAACTGCACAAAATGGGTTTTTTTAGAAGGGAAGTGTTAACAATTCAATTAAAGAGAAGTATTTCCAGATTCATTGGTTGTTCAGTGTAAAGATATTTTCACTTCCCTGTACTATCTCCCATAAAATTTCCATGACTTGTTTACTGAGTATTAAAGAATCATAAGGCTTTTTTTTCCTTTTTTTCACAAGTTAAGACTTTTATTTAGGGTCCATTTCTTATCCATCTAAAGATATCAATATTCCAGGAACAACAACAAAAAAATTGTTGACAAAATATTTTAAAGTTTGCAAAACAATTTCTTTACATTATCTCACATTAGCCTTCCCTGAACTCTGTGAGGTAAATACTCATACCCATATCTTCCTTATGAGGCAACAGAGACTTAGAGAGACTGAGTGATTTGTTTAGGGTCACCCTGCTAGTGTCAGAGGCAAGATGTAAGCCCAAATCTTCCTCACTCCAAGTCAGTGCAGCATTCTACCAATTATTCATCTCTGCTTTATAGCCACATATTCAAGAATTTCTTTTGCCTACTGAAACTATAATTCTCATAGATGGATATTATTCCCTTCATTTTTACAACACATGAAATTTTCTTAGCCTCACCATTCACTCGCATGCACACACACACACACACACACACACACACACACACATATAAAATTTTAAAGTATCCTGATGACAAGAAAAGTCCAGAAAACACATGAGTGATAAAATGTAAATTCATGGATCTTAGGGATTTAAATGGTGCAGAAAACTCTGAAATGGGCCAGATGTTCTTCTAGAAAAAACAGCAGTCCTGATAATGAGCTATGAAATACTCTAGTGGTAAATGAGAGAATGTCAGTATCTTAAGGGACAGCTCCCCCTCCACCAACTTTAAAAAGTGGACAAATTCAAACTTTAAAATGGTTTGGGGTGTGTGTGTGTGTGTGTGTGTGTGTGTGTGTGTAACATAGGCTTCAGTTAGCCAATTTTCCTCCAAGGAATTAATGAAGAAAACCATTCTGTTTCTTTGAAGCCTGAAGCCAAAGAGAAATAGAAGACAATCAAGAATTACTAGCATAATAAATATGAAGACTGTACTGGCTTCTCCTCAAAATTCAGGAGGTTGAAATAAGTTAAAAGAAAGTCAGGATCTGGGTCCCATTTAAAGAAAGATAATAGAAAACTATTTAGATTGGCACCCCAGTGTTATTAACAGCTGTTTTTGGAAGAGAGCTAAAAAGGAAGGCTTGACATAGCTAAAAATATTCTAATGAAATTAATCTGAATATCCAAGTTTATTTACTAATTTGTCATTGAACTTTTGAATTTGGACCTTCTCCCTTAAAAACTGACCTTTCAGTCATGCATGGTGGCACACACCTGTAATCACTGTGAGCAGGGTGACTGAGGTTAGTGGATAACTCAAGCTCAAGACATCTGTTCTTCAGTTGATTGACCTGTAAGTCTGGCACCAATATGGTGAGATCCTGGGAGTGGGGGGCAGGGTGGGAAGGAGGCATCCTCCAAGGTTGTGTAAGAAGGGGTGAACTAGCTCAGGTTGGAAACAGTGGATGTCAATGCTCCCATGCTGATCAGTAGTGGGGTCAGGGTACATGATTAACTGATGCGCTTCCAGCCTGTGAAAGATAGAGAGACCTAGTGTCCAAAAACAACAACAACAACAACAACAATGATGATGATGATTTATTAATAACCCTTCCCCATAGAAGGAGCCCATCTCCTTCAAGAGAAAAAAAAAGTCAAAGACCCAGAAGGCCAAAATGTCATGTTGAAGCATGACCAGAAACACACAAAAAAGGAAGAAAATTCAAATATCTTGCACCTTCTGAAGAGTCACGATACATTAGCTTCATAGGCAGCTTTAAGAATGACATCATCAAATTTTCCCTCACCACTGAGTCATCTGTGAAGAAAATTAAAGATAACAACATACTAGTATTCATCATAAATGCCAAGGTCAACAAGGATCACATCAAGTAGGTTATAAAATAAGCTGTATGATATCAATATGGCCAAGGTCAATGCATCAATCTGGCCCAATAAAGAGAAGACCTATGTCCAGTTTGCCCAGACAATATCCCTTTCGACATTGCCAATAAAACTGAACCAACTAAACTATGTCATACTAGCCTATTTCACATATAGTTCAGTTTTTTTCTACACACGCATTAAAAATAAAAACAGCAAAAATGAATTTCTTTTTACTGCTATTCTCAAAAGCAAGCAAGCTATCAGTAAAATCATTCATCCCTTAGACTAAGGTGTTATCCTGACCATTTTGCAGTAGGTCCCAAGAATTTGTCTTGGTCATGTCACAAGAGCAAAAACAAAAGTATGGGGGAAATAAAGCTACACTTAGTACAACAAAACATTTCAGAGTGAACATTAATTCCTTGGAAATTGGCATACACACACACACACACACACACACACATATATATACATACACACATATGTATATGTGTGTGTGTGTGTGTATAGATATAGATATAGATATATATATATATAAAATCTCCCAAATATCTTTACTGATCCAACCACCAGGCTTCAAGGGAGCCCAGGAACCCTCTAGTTAAATATGGACAGTTTCAGACAATGACAGGTTCCCTAAAGCTAGGACAATTCCCCAAAATTAATACCTTTACATTTCAGAGACTCCAGGTCCTTTCAGCACATGCATAAAAACTTCCCACTTGGTAACCTGGTGCCCAAAGCCTCTCAGACTAAAGTAACTGCTTTCACTCCTCCAACATATCATATGGTTATCCAGGCTTGCAGTCTAAGATTCTGTTGGACTTTGGTATCTTTGGACTCATGCGTACTCTTAAAGCTTATATAAAGAAACACATGCACATTCTCTGCCTTTTGCTCCCTCTCTAGACCAGTCGGTGCCTGGCAAAAGTATCTCCAGTCATCATAACAGAATATTCCTTCTCTTTCTCTAAAGTTGCAAAAAACAATTACCAAGCATCTTCATTATAAATATCACCACGAAAGTCAGAAAGTTAGAGGAATTGAAATTTCCCCTTTTCTGACAGCTGCCTAGGACTCCTCCATAGATGGAGAGGGGGGGGGGTTGGGGTGGAGGGGGATGGTTTGACTAGCAGGGGGAGAAAACCACTTCTACCTTGGTGGACAAAGAAGAATCAGGAAGAAGTTATTCATTGAACTAAGATCCTTCACTACTACAGGGTCTGGAGATCATCCTTCCAACGTATACCTGTTTTAGCCTTGTCCTAAGTTTATAATATGGCTGCCTCCATCCTCTCCTACTACTGTTCATTGTTCCATTCCACACCCATGCAACACTTTGTTGGCCCCCACATGTATTTCTTCTCCAACCCTCCACCATCTTCCACAGAATTCTAGCAAAGTTCAAGTGTAACATAGTAACTAGCATTCCCAAGAACCAGGGAAGTTTACTTAACTATCAGGCATGTCCCTGATTACTCCAAAGATTTCAAGGTAATATCTCTTTGGGTGGGGCTAATCACAAATCACACAAACTTTTTCTGCTACTTCCTTCTATAATCTATGTGCCATCCAAATAAGACTACCAGCTTATCCATTTACTCAATTCTACACATCACACCTTTATACATTGGTATAGGACAATCCTGGGAGAGGAAACTCTCTACAAACGCTGCTCATCATCTTCTCCAGAATTATAGAGAATTGTCCATGTTGCAGAAAGATTAAGTGACTTTTTACACAACCTCTTAAAGCTGGTATATATCAGAAATAAGACTTGAACACAGTTTCTTGCCTTCAAGGCCAATCTATCCACTATTCTCCACACCAAGCAGAGTAGGTTAATGAATGTGCATTGAATCGAATTAATTTCATTCATATCAACATCAATAATCAATAATCCATTGAATTGAATTAATTTATTGAATGTGCATTGAATTGAATTAATTGCTATGAATTTCTTTTTGCCAATAGCAAAAGACTATACTACTAAGCTTTTAGAATTAAAATTCTGTGCATACAATTTCTTATTGACACTAAGATCCAAGAAAGAACAGTCATTTAGTATTGTGAAGCTTTCAAATAAAGAGCAAAAGTATCCCACACCAATTATATAACTAGTAAATTTTCCAGGTGTGTCCTAAAATTCTCATTAATGTTCTCCTTTCCTTTCACAAAACACTTTTAAGAATTCTGATTATTTACCCTTGTATCTTCTCTCTATCAGATCAAATTATTTCAACTCAGTTAAACAAGAATTGATTTACTTTTATATGTATACCGGGGGCTAGGGGCTAGAATTATTCCTAAAATTAGAAGCATTAATTTAGACCCTGCTCTACTAGCAAGTAAACACTACATTTCCTTCAAGAACATACTGAGATTCCCTCTTCCATAATCTCTTCCCTGACTAGCTCTATTCCACATGGATCCTTCCTTTTCTTTGAATATATTTATCACTTAAACACACAGTTTGTAACACCCTATCTCACACTTACTTATATGTGTTATTTGCATCTGTTTTCTAGTTATATTGTCTCTCCAACTTGATTTTAAATTCTAGGGCAACAATTAAGTTTTCTCCACAGCAATTAGTACAGTAGTGGGCAAATACCATAAGACCATATATAAAGAAGAACTGCACAGGGCTTTTACAGCCATCTAGTCCAAGAATCTCATTTTGTAGCTGAGGAAACTGAGTTTCAGTGAGGCTTAGTGACTTACCTACCTCACCGAGTTGTTGTAAGCATCAAATGAGATAACATATGCAAAGCCTTTTATGAACCTTAAATTGTTATATCAATACAAGGTAATATTATCTATTATCAGAAGTACAGATCAAACATGCATTTATTAAGTGCTTACTATATGGTCCTTGCTCACAAACAACTCACATTCTAATTGGGAGGGACACCATGCAAACAACTCTGTGTGTGTGTGTGTGTGTGTGTGTGTATGTATACATACATACATACACAGTGGAGGGATATATTAAAGTGTAGGGACTGGGGTAGCAGTAGAAAATCAAAGGTCTACTAGAGAAGGCCAGATGTGATCTGTGTCTTGGAAGAAGAGAAGATAGAAGTTTGAGGTAAGGAGGGAGCACATTCCAAACCTGAGGGAATGCCAAACTAAGGGAGTAGATATTCAGGAGATAGAGTTTCACAAGTGAGGACTGTGTAGCTGAATTGCAGATTTTGTGGAGGAGTATAAAGCACGTGAAGCTTGAAATGGTAAAAAAAAAAAAAGGGTGGGGAGGGGAGAGAAGGTTGATTGTGAAGGGATTTAAATACCAAACAGAGGACTTTTATATTTGATCTTGGAGAGGCAATAGGAAATTAGAGTTTACTGAAGTAATAGGGAGCCAATGAAGTTTATTGATGAGGAGAGGTTTGACACTATCGGATACCCCTGTCTTAGGAAAATCAATTTGACAGCTGAGTGGGTGAATTAGACTGGGGAGAGACAAGTGTCAGAGATAACATTTAGATGGCTACTGAAACAGTTTAAGTGAGATTCCTATAAAAGGGTTGTGGTTGTACAAGCAGAGAAAAAAGAAATATACAAGAGATATTATAAAGGAAAAAGTGATAAGATTTGACAACAGATTGGATATATGGAGTGAATAAGAGTGACACTGAGGTTAGAAGCCTGGGTGACTGGACGGACAATGGTGCTCTCAATATGGAATATATATATATGGAATATGGGAAGAGAGGAGGGCTTGTGACAGGAGGGAGAATCATGAGTTCTTTCTTGGATATATTGAATTTAACATACTTATGGGACATTCTTGACAGATCAAAAGGAAATTGTTAATATGGGACTGTAGCCCAGGAAAGAGATTAGCACTGGATATAAAGATCTGAAAATTATTTGCATGGAGGTGATAGCTGAACAAAAGCGAACTGATGTAATCACCACACCACATAGTTTAGAGGGAAAAAAGAAGCAGGAACAGGAAGAAGCGTTTAAGGGATCAGTAGGCTATGATGTGAAGATCCAGCAAAGGAGATTTTAAAAGAGCAATAAGACAGAAGAATGAGCAAAGAGATATGTCACAAAAACCTAGAAAAGAGAAAATCATTTACTTGTCAAAAACCACACAGAGTTTAAGAGTGAAGATTGAGAAAAAGGCCCTTACCAGGTAATTACCAGGTAAATATTAACTTCAGAATGAGTATTCTTACTTGAAGCCATATCATCATAAGTGGGACTTGAACTCAGGTCTTTTGACTCCAAAACCAAAGGTCCTAAACAATATGTTAAACTGCCAGCTATTCACAGAACACTGGATCTGGAGTCAGAAGACCTGGGTTAGAATCTCACCTCTGTCTCTTGCTGCCCATGCGACCTTGAGCAAATGTCTTCACTTCTCTGGTCTGCAGTTTCCTCATCTGAAAATTAGAGTTGGACAAAAGACAACCTTTAAGATACTTTGTGATCCTATATAGGGTTTACATAAAAATAGACTCATCTTTCTAAGCATCAAAATTTAAATAAAACAACAAATTGGGCTGTTTATGGTGGTGGGTGGTAACATTAAAAAATCTAAAGTGTGAAATTCTACAATAATGCATCCATATAAACTAAACTTACTTAAAACCAATCTGATCAAAACTTCTGTCCTCTGCTAATTTGCGTTTCTACCTTAAACCAAATCATACCTGCGCAAATCACAGAGCAGGAAATTAATGGGAATGAAGTAATTTCCTTCCTTCCATAACTCTCACCAGAAATTTTGCAGCATTGGTAATTACTTTGCCAAAGGTGGGTCAGAGAGGAAAATGTTGTTACACAGTTACAGACAGATTACACAACTACATTTGTTCAAGCATTAGTCAGAAGGGAAAACAGAATAAAGAGTGTAGATGGCTCAAAGTGATCTATCAACACTATTGGGAGTTCATACCCATCACAGAGTGTTATCTTCATATAGAAAGAACAGAACATTAAATCAAAGGAGGAGCAAAAAACTGATTATTTACAAATATGGGGAAGATGGCACATTGGACATTCTAGAAGAAAGACCTATGGAATTTAAGTAAAAACAAATAATTTAAGAGAAACAAGATGCAAAAAAATGTATTTCAGTTGTCTAAGTGCTCCTCGATTAAAAAAAACCTAAGAATTTAAATTACAGATTTTTAGGAAAAAAACCACTAGGTTTTTCAAAAAGACCTCTATAGGCTGTCTCAAATTAGAATTTTTTTTTGATACTTGAACTATCCTCCTTTCTTCTGCACACTTTTTTGTAGGTAAGTATGTCAATTTTAGAATATTAGAAAGCAAGAATACTCTTATGCTTAAAAAAACCCCCAACATTATGAGAAAATGTGTCAGCAATCTCTGTTAAAAAAAAAAACAGAGAGAGAAATAACCTTCTATATCCTCACCATTAAATGGATCCTGAATGATAATTATTTTAGATGGTCAGTACATATTCTTTATCCTAATACAGGAGATAACCGCAGGTTCCTGGGTAAACAAGAGCCAAGATGCATCAACTTTATTGTTATTGCTGCCCATTTGACAGGAGAGCATACCAAATGAATCACTATCAGTTATTCAAATGGGAACAAAAAGCTGTTAATCAGTTGGCTAATTATACTAAAATGTGAAATAAGATTCCCAACTGGGAGGGACTTTCCCACCATGATTCTTATCTCCTAAAATGCAAACTATTTGTTTCTGGATTCATTTTCGACATTTGAATCCTTATCAGAAGGTCAATCAGCCACAGGTGACTCCTGACCTTTGAACTCTTTTAGGTCCCACTAGCTGTCTGATGTAATGCATATTCATAGGAAAGGAAGAAACTGGTTTCCTGACATTGTCATCTTCCTTTTAACTGCATTCCTTCCTTAGAAATGAGATAACAACTGAAATCCGGACAGTGGAAACATATCACTCACGCACACACACACATACATACATATACACACACTCAGAATGAACACAGTGACTTAATGCATTACTTTCCACAGAAAGTCCCTCAGGATTTTAAGTGTAGTGTTTGTCCATCAAAAAAAAAAAACAACAGGAGAATCAAAGGGTTACTCATTTTGACCATTTACGTGGTCAAAAAAATTGATCAATATTCCTATACATAACTATTTGGTTTTTTTATCAGAACGCCCCAATCTTCTTACCTCTCAGAGGAAAGATTATCCATTCAGAGGTAAAGGATCCACCTTGCATCTGCAGAATATTGTAACCAGCCTGTGTAAACCTAAAATGGAAGGGGATCCAGGAGTTTATATAAAGTAGTGAGAAGAGTTCTCCCTATACATAAGTGAAAGAGATTATTGTATATACTGCTCTGCTGCTGAATAGCTCCAGGGGAATCATGTCAGGGCATTCTGGGGTAAAAGAGTGCTCACACATCACGTCTTTTCATTCACTTAACAAACATTTATTAAACACCTGCAGTATACAAAACAGGCCTGGGGGGAGGAGGGAATACAGATATTTGATGAGATACAGCTCATTCTATAAAGTAGCCTAGATTTTAGGAGGAGAAATAAAACACTATAAGGGAAATTAGTCCTTTATAAATGCATAAAATAATATAAACAAAACCATAGATAAGGGTTTTAAGCAGGGAATCATTTTGACTGGAAAGGAGGAGGATGTGGATCAGGAAAGGCTTAGTGGAGGTAACTGTACTTGAGATAGGATTTAAAAAGGTGGAATTTTTTTTTAAAGGGGTAGGGGTGGAAGAGGATGTATTTAAGGAATTAGGAACTGAATAAGCAAAGATATGGAGTCAGCAAATCAGGACATAAATGGGAATTGACAAGTAGCCTGCTTTGGCTGGAGTGTAGAATAAGTGGCTAGAGGTAATATGAAATATAGCTGGAAAAGTAATGTGGTGCTCTATTATAGAGCGAACCTTAATGGAATAGGAAACTTGAACTTCCTTCTCCTTATTTTCTCTCTTCCCTCCCTCCCTCCCTCTGTTCCTTGCTTCCTTTTCCTTCTTTCCTTCCTTTCTTTCTCCTTCCCGTCTTTCTTTCCCCCTTTCCTTCCTATTGGCATTAGAAAGTTTTAAACAATATCACTGTTAGACTAAACTGTTTAGAGTAGGGGGCAATGTTGGCCAGTTCTTTCTTCCAGGAAATGTGAACCCAAACAAAGAAGACAATCCCAAAGGTCAACAACACAGTTCGTTTTTTTTTTCCCCTCAGTGTCTGAAATGGAATGTACATCTAGGTCTCCATTAATGCAAATAATGAATCCCATGAAGTGGCTGCAAGCATTCAAATTTATAATTATGTAAAATAGTGTAATTTGTCCAAGCCAGTGGTGTGCTAGCTAATGGCTAGCAATAACACTTTTAAGTTTAATCTACATTATTAACATTTTCTTCATGACTTTTTAAAATTTATGCAACCAACAAAACATAGCAATTCCTAATTTTAACATTTGCCAATTTCCAAGGTATTGACATTCACTCTGAAAATTTAACAATTGGCTATCTCAAGGAATAAGCTGGTATGAGCTGGCTCCAGCACAACCCTAGTTCCAGCCACTATTGAAATATGCACATTAAAATAATTCAACTACTTCACAGGATTCATTATTTATACTAATTGAGAACCAGCTATTTAAGTTACTCAAACTGATTGAACAAATTCCTTAGTCTTACACAAGAATTACAATATTTCAAAAGAACTGTAATCTCATTCTTGTGGCTACTCTACTTACTCATATCATAACTTCTCTGTTTAGATGATTTTCTGAGTTTTTTGAACAAAAAATTTTATCACAGGATGGCTAACCTTATTGTAATATGCCTCTGCAAATTTAGGCTGGTCCTCAGTGTTCTCTCTCTCTCTCTCTCTCTCTCTCTCTCTCTCTCTCTCTCTCTCTCTCTCTCTCTCTCCCTATCTATCTCTCTGTCCCTCTCTTTTCCTCTCTCTCTTATGCACACACACGCACACACACCCACACAAACACACACCCACACACGTGCACTAAACTCATGGACTTCTTCGTTTTACCCAGGACCTGTCAGAGTTGATATACTACAGGAATAGCCTTTAAGAGTTAAGGGTCTATGAATCATGATGAGCTAGCAGAGGACTTTAGTGGATGACTCAAACATTGTAATTATTTTAATAATTAAAAGATAAAATGAATAAAAAGAATGTTTGACTTTATACATTTACGTAGGATACTAGGTAGACCTTGGGAGTCCACAGAACTTCTAGTATTACTTTGGTTTAAAACTATACTATTCTATACAGTTGGGAACTTCAATTGACTCTCATTTAATGCCTTGAGTATGTAAAAAAAAATTAAGTATCTGGATGTGAAAAAATACTTTCTTCTTAAGTTTTAGATGCTTGTTGTAGCTCTTTTACAAACAAACAAACAAACAATAACTTATCCTGGCCCAACTGTTTTAGATTTAAATTTGGATTCTGGAAGAAAAGTGATGAAACTATCAATCCTTTTTGACTCAAGGATTCCACATAAGCTGCAAGGAAGGCAAAAAAAAAGGCAAAAAAAGAAAGAAAAACAACGTCCAATATATTCCAAAATATTCATATCAGCACTCTTTATACTAGTAAAGAACTGGGTGGAAGCCATTGACTGGGGAATGACTGAAGATACAACGGAATATTATTGTGCAGTAAGTGGTGATAAATACAATACATTTAGAGAAATGGAACAATTTATATGAAATTATGTAGATAGAACAAAATAAGCAGAAATGAGAAGTGTGTGTGTGTGTGTGTGTGTGTGTGTGTGTGTGTGTGTAAAATGACTATAACAATATAAAGCAGAAGATCCCAAAAGGAAGGCAAAATATGAGTAGACAAACAAACCATTGAAGGTTTTGGAAAACAACTGGATCCCCCAGATCTCCTAGATAAATGACTAACTCTGTTTAACGACTGTAAGCATGGAACTGGTAAGTGAAGTCTACGTTGTTTCTCATGGAAAAGAGCTGGTTAGAGGGATGCTGGTGAATATTTAACAAGTGACTCTCTGTAGGAAAAAAAAATGTACCCAAAGCAAACATTTAAGTTTAGTCTGCATTGTTAGCACTGCCTACATCATTTTCTTAAATCCAGATAACCAACAAAATAATAAACCAAGCTTTAATTTGTAGTATTTGCTGATTTCCAATATGTAAATTGTCATATTAAAAATTTAACAATCATCTTCCTCCAGCTGGTACAATGTTCCAGCATACCACTGAAGTAAGGACATTATGAAAACAGAATTTTATATGCATTTTCAAACATGGTCAATGTTTCCTATAATCTTTTTTTTTTTTTGATATAAGGGAGTGTTCAGTATTGGAGGTAGATTTGAAATTGCTATTATTTAAAGACGTCATCAATTTTTAAGAGAAAGAATTCTTAAAAGTTGCTTTATTTATGTCCTGGAACATTTAAACAAACATCTTAAGAGAATAACGGTAGATTCTTCTGTAATACAGAATCATTTTAGTAACATATTCTCTTTACCTTATTGTTTGGCACCTGCTCTGTGACTGAGGTTATAGATCATTTGTGTTGAATGATTATTCATCAAATAAATAAATGGAAAGCAACATTTTCCCCTGGAATTTTATTACATGATTTCATTGCTAGATGTGAATATTTTATCTAACTTTTGAAATATTGCATAATGGAAGTTATTCTTTTTTTTTTGCCATTTTGACATATTTCCATCACTTTGTCTTTTCTCATGCCTTTCTTCTTAACTAGACTGCCCTCTAATCCCAATTCACTTGTCAAAATCCTACCCTTTCTTCAGAGTCTAGCTTAAGTCAGATTTTTTTCCATGAAACTTTCCTTGATTATTTAGTTCATAAGTAGAGATGTTCCTACTCTCATACTTACAAAATCTCACTTTTAATTTTTCAGTGTGAGCATTTACACCTCAGAAATTCAAAATTGGTAAAATTAGAGCTTCATTTATTGTTTTGTTGATTATCTAGACTGAAAAATGTGTCAATATGCAGTTTGAACTTGAAGGTTTGTGCAAATACCTACACACACACACACACACACACACACACCTGATAGTTAAACTTTCATCAGTATACTCCTATATCACTCTATAAGCCTTCATTGAGCTCAAGAAGAAGTCAGTAGAAGCTTCACTCAGGGAATGAAGTCAGAACCACATGGGAGGTCTGAGGTTCATAATAATAACCTACATTTATAAAGTGCTTTAAGGTTTGAAAGCTGTTTTACATCAATTATCTTATTTGAGACTCACAACACCCCTGCTCGTAAGTGATCTCTGCCTCATCTAAGAATATCTTTATGGCAAAAAGTACAGTGGTACTGGGACTTCACAGATTTTAGAATAAAGCATACACAACATTCTCTTCAGAAAAACTCTCCGTCTTTCTATTCCATTAATGACCACACTGGTTTTCTTAGTCATGGATCAGAAATGCCCAATCTTCATGTAGCATGTATTAATGCTTATTGGGTGAATATAAAATCAGTTAAAAAAATAAAATTATTATTATTTAGTGAAGAAATTTAAGACAACTTACAAAGAAAGAGGTCCATTTGCATTTACGATTTTCATCAAGGGTCTAAAACCTCATCCAGGAATTAATTCAAACTAGATTTCTTTGGACATATATAAATATATATATATAATGCATATGACAGTTATATAGGAATAGAGATAGGGACTGGAGCTGTGATTTCATTGCTGTAAGGAATTCCCTTATGAGGACACTCCCTCTACCAAAGCAGGCCTTCGCTTTCATTGCAACTTAAAGTCTTAGAGAATTAACTAGAGCACTGAGAGGTTAAGTGACTTGCCCAGGTTCACACAGCCAGTTAAGGTTAGAGGCAATATGTTTCTCCTGGCTTCAACGTCACCTCTCTATCGACTACACCACTTCATTATATTAGGTAGTTTGTTCAATATAAATAAAAGGCATAATTGAATATCTTCATTTAAGAAGTACTTATTTGAAATAACTTCTTAGATTAGAGAGAGAGAGAGAGAGAGAGAGAGAGAGAGAGAGAGAGAGAGCACAGATATGTAGTGTCTAAAAGGAATAGAATACTATTATCATTTTTATGCAACTCCTGAGAGTGGCAAAAGTTGTAATCCTTAATCTCAATCATTTGAGCTCTCCCAGTAAACAGAAATTGGTTAATTAAACTTGTATGCACTTAATTATATGCATTAAAATATGCCCAGCAAACAAATGAATCAATGTGGAAAATTGGCCTTTCA